TATTCACCGGATGAATCACTAACCAACGAATAGCGTGGTTTGTTTTGTTAACATTTATCCAGTGAATATTGATTTATCCGGTGGATAGCGTTATTCAGCCTTCGAACAACTGGGGCCTGAAATGTAGGATACATCTTGTTCAAAGAAAAGATTGTAGATCGATAAGTTTCTTGTTTTTCTTTTTAGAAACTGTTTTGAGATAACATTGGAACTTGGTTGCTGTAAATATCCGCCAGCTCTTTACATCATGCGCTACTGGTACGCAAACCGCGAGGCCTTGCTCAAGTTCATCGAATTGGTGCATAAGTCCGGAATAAGGGGCTTTGTAGTTGATGAGAAGGGCCTTCCTCTTGAGGGGGCAAGGATCATCATCGAGAATCGCGCCAAAAAGATTAAGACCTCCAAGGATGGCGACTTCTGGCGGCTCTTGGTTCCAGGAAATTACACCGTCCGCGTAGCTAAACGCAGATTTAAAAACTCCAAGAAGACCGTAACTGTTGATCCAGATGTATCGACAGTTGTAAACTTCACTCTGTTTAGAAAGAATTCAAATAATTTCAACAGGCGTCGGCCAGCGACGAAAATCAACGGCGCAGTCGAGCTTGAGAAACCAGCGAGTAATGTGAGCTTTCATTCGATTGTAACAAACCGAGATAAATTGAGGCTTGCAGCAAAATCACCCAAGAAATCCGCTTCTGTGGCGAGAATTCCTTCAATCGTTGCTAGTTTTATTTGTCTTGTTTTAGTGGCCAGTCTGAAATGATAAATCAAGACTTGTCCTGTTCAATTTATCGATCGTTAGAACTTTTGTTTTCACTGTCTCATAACCAATGTTAGGCAGAAAATTTGATTTGTTTGATTGGTTTAAATTTATTGATCGAATTAATCGTGTATCAAAGGAGCTCAGTCACGGTATTTTGAATTATTTTGGCCACGTACAAAATTACCTTGACATTGAGGGGAACCTGAAAATAATAGTTTACTAAGATAGAAAAACACCGAAGAGATAATAATAAACCATAAAGGGACAAGGATGGTTACGGATGGAGAAGATTGAAACCGATTGAAAACGATAAAATTTTAGGCTAAACTTTTCAAGATGCACAAACCGTGACGTAACTCTTTTAAGATTTGGTCATAGCTTGGTTCTCTGTTTTGCGTTTCGTCTTTTTAAAGTAGTATATTTCTTTGTCGTCGTTTTTTTTTTAGAGCTTTTTCTCATTTTACATATTTAACGTCGATAACTTTATACTGGGACTATGTCTTGCAAGCTGTGGCCATTTTTTTTTACAGTGCACAAGTTATCTAAATAAAGAGTTCACCAAGACCAAACAAAAAATGCTAATCGACTGATTGTACAACAAAGTAATAAGCGAAGACTGGGACGGACAATGAACTATCCCCTTGAAAAACATGAACATTTTTAAAGAACTGGGGCCACGTGACTCGTCACGTAACCTTTTCTCCCAACGAAGATTGCGTGACCAGCCACAAGAACGTGTGCGTTGTAGGTCACGCATGACATAGCTCCTCTATAACAGCTTTTCATTTTGTACTTTTTATTCTGGCACGTTTTGTTATCCAATATCGGAGTGCTTGGTTGATTCTATATTTCTTGCTCATATTGAGGCGTTTAAACTGACTTTTACGGCTGTTCTAATTAACCAGTTGCTTGAAACGTTATTTATCGAGATCTGTGTATTAATAAAGGCCGAGGTTTTTCTATGGTCTGAGAATTATTCAATATCGAGCGTGGACCAAATGTTTTAGCTTCCAGGCTTTCTTAATGGCCGCGTTTAGCAGGGAGCCTGGACTCTACTCTACTAACACCCATTCCCGCTAGGCCCGCGACGTTCCGTAGATATGATCGAATGAACTCATGGGGTTGGGACAGTACACTCCGTGGGCTAGTTAGTACAGGGAGTTTACCTGAAGTAGAATCAACGCTGGGGATCTGGAATAAGGTTGAATACTATTGAATGTCTAGAAGAATGCAAAACCTTCGCCGTACTTTTCGTCTCAAACACCTTTATTTCGTATTCAAGTGTGCGTATATTATTGTTCGAAATATAATTCGTGACAATTCCATCCTTTCGCTTATCTTGGGCCTGCGTGAGATTCCTGTGCTTGCTAGACTGGTATCTCAGTGTACCTACAGACGCGTGTTTCCTCGACAGAAAGGGGAAAGACAAACAAATCACTTTTTCTTTTTCCGCGAACTTTTTTTCCTGACCTCGTTTGGATTCCTTCTGTTCTGGTACTGTGCACCTTTCAAGTGATAGCCAAGCTGGGAAGCTCGGCTAGTCACGTCTTTAGCAGCGAATGGCGAGGTTCGTGCGATGTAATCGGGATCAAACACATTCATGTTATCTTTCTTGCGAGGCAGACGATGCTGGCCGCGCGGCTGGTCTTCAGTGAGTACTGGGTTCTCACTGTGACGGCCGCCTTTAGGCAAAGGAAGAGGAAACTATGGAGAAATGAGAGAAAAAAAGGTCACAAGGAAGAAAACAGTAACATAACTACAGCCCAAACTACAAACAGCTCCTCTTTTCTCTAGGTTCGCCGAGCGAGAGTTAAAAACCCGATGGCAAAAAAATTAAAAATGGCTGCCCTTATTTTTCAAACTAACGAGAAAAGAATAAATATGATCACACTGACCTTATTACTGACAGCAATAGGGCCAGCAAACAGCCAGGTTGGCCCAAAGAGCTCATTCCAGTAAATATTAATTTTTATCTGAAAACTGATGCTCACCTTAACAGTCTTTTGGAGTACCCAAGGCTAACGCTGAAATGTGAGCTTTTCAAATCTAGGACACCAGTTCATTCACTTTATCATGTATATCAGCTGTAAAGGTGGAAATATTGAAGCACATTTCAACTGTTTACCTTCTTTCCTCTGATGTTAAATGGTTTCTTTCTGTTTGGCACTTGGTAATGAGTTACACCATCCTCATCAACACTTACTGATAATCTCACCAAAGTGCTGTTACCACAAGATGGACAAAACTTCTTCCCTAGCTGGCTTGTTACTCTGAAAGAAGAAAAAACAATTGACTATTATTGGTTTAACAGACTCGAAAAGTTTGCTTGTCTCACCTGACCCAGCAGAGCAATGTCATATATCTTGGCAATCTTTTGGATGGGATGTTCGTCTGACCCCATCAATCAAAATCTTAGAGCGCACCCCTCCCTGTTGCTGTGCTGTCAAGGTTTTTAAGATAGAGGTGTTGGACCTTTCGAAACATTTAAAATTTTGTTGGTTTGGTTGGTATGAATATCACATCAATGAAATACAAGTCAATCATTGTTCTATTGGCAAACAAAGCTCGAGCAACAAAATTGGTCTGTAAAATCTATAGCTGCCCTTGAAACTTTACTCCTTGGTCAATATTTGTTCATCCGTCAGATGTTTCAGCTTCTGGCTTTTTAAGCCAAAAAAGGAGAGTTTGAAAGCATTTTACTGTATATGTATAGATGGTTTTCACTGTCACGCAACGAAAAAATAAATCGAAAACTATTCAGTGGGTAAAGTCAAGAAATTTTGATATTATAGGAGACAGGTAAAGGAGAAACTTCTCCAATTTTTGGGTCTCTGCGTTTTCCCAAACTTCAGATATTCGTCGAAATGTCTTGCGCAAATTTACAGAGCCCAGTATGGAGCCACCATGTTGGTGGAGCTCTGTGCTCCACCAACATGGCGGCCGGAAAATAGTGCAAACATCTGGAACTTACTTTGGCTATCTAGGTGACTCATTATCTGAACTGAGCCAACAAACATTTACACAAGCACTTTTCCTAACACTTTAACTCCTAAAAAGGCTATAGATTTTTATGATTTGGGTTGAGAGAGACTCAGTCTTACAATATTGAGGGGTCAGTATGATATAATTATGAATATAATATCTATGCAAAGTTAAATCTATTCATTAAATCTTTATTTAAGTTGTTAATCAATCTCTTACACTAAAAAATTGAAAGCAACTTTTGAGCAACTTTTGGATTTTGGGGCAACTTTTGAGCAACTTATTAGAGTTTTGGAGCAACTTTTGAGCAACTTTTTGAGAAAATTGGAGCAACTTGTGGACAGCCCTAAAAAGAATACAGCAAATCACACTATTTTTCAAACTTGTGCTAATCGTTTTGTTTGTCTTTTTTTTAATTTTTTTGTGTTTGGTTTTTTATCATCCATTTTGACATATGGCCTTTGGGCAAACATTATGTATTCCATATTGTCAATACTAGCAAGTAAGACATTGTCAGTGATTAAATTATTAACATTACACTTACAGTCTTTGATTTTGCTTTCATTTCATCTGAGTAGTGATGAGGAATGTGATGGATAACTACATCTCTGTAGGGATGGAATTTTGGGAGGTATTTGCAAATGGTTTTGCTCACTTACACTGCCCATCTCTGCTTGAGTTGGTCCAGTGTTGGCTTGGCTGGAAGAAGATCAATCAACTGGACCTCTGTAAGTAACTTCTGTTCTTGTCTTGTCTAAATTAGGTTCATTGACCTTGTTCAGAACAGCGTACTGCTGTGTCCAATGTATGGACAGTTGCTGTGTTCTGTACATTGAATTCTGGCATTAATCATCAAATCAAGATTGTTCCCCACCAACCTAAGATTTATAGAAACATTTACATATGACTATCTACATAATGAGAAGTTACAGAGTTGACACTCAACAGAAACCAAAAAGTTCCTTGGCTTTTCACTGACCTGTGAACAATTTTCACTAACCTTGTATTGTGAGGATAATAATAAAAAAATGAAATTTGATCATGGGCCAATATACTACTGCTCCTCCACGTGCCACTCAAATAGTATCAAAAGCCATTTATTGATGTTTTTCTGATAGCAAATTAAATTCCACGACTTTTTACTCACTTTGACAGATTTCCCCTGACCATCTACAAATGCCCTGACTTTTCCCCATCCTTCAAACATTGTTGTTTTCCCCCAACTTCTCCCTTGCTGTAGCAGGACCATAGCAACCGTGTTCGAGAATACTGAAATAATTAAATTGCTTGTTTTCCTTCCTTCCTTCCTTACTATTGAAGGTAAGCTTATTAAATTTACCCACTCGTAATTTTCATTTGATATAAGGGATAAAAACAACTAACAGCTGACATCAACAGAAAATCCTAACTGCAGGTCAAAAGTACTTTTGATTTCCATTTGATGGTAAAAATAATTATAAAGTACTCTAGGGTTTTTGGGCTATAAGACTCTATACTCTGCATTGTTAAATAAAGATATACAGTTTAGCACTTCAAACATATCATTCTTAAAATACCTCTGGCATGGAAGTTTCACTGCGGCTATGTTCGCTGAAAACCATGCTGATCTTAATCCAGAGCTACCTCCCCCGGCTTCAACAGAACATTCACATGAATCTGCTGATATGGCATTGTTGTTTGCTCTTTTGATAAATTACCTTGATAGGAAGTTGAGAGGCATGGTGGCCTCATGGTTAGCGCGCTGTTCCCCAAATCGAGCGGTCTGGGTTCAAGCCCTGGCTAGGAACACTGTTGTGTTCTCGGGCAAGCCACTCAACTCTCACAGTGCCTCTCTCCACCCAGGAGTATAAATGGGTACCAGAGAATTGTTGCGGAAACCTAACAAATTGCGGAGGAGTGACCTGCAATGGACTAGCATCCAATCCAGGGGGAGTTTAAATACTCCTAGCTGCTTCATGCTACAGAAACTGGGATAAGCTCCGGCAGCTATGAGCCTGTCAGCTCCAAGGCTTCACTTCTTTGATGTTTGTATTTCTTGATAGTTTCCTCCAAGAAGTCAACGTCCACTCACGTTACTTTGTCTTCGTGATGGCCGACTTGTTCTTCCCTGACTTCATTCAACAGCAGACTAGCTACTTTAACTTTCTCGATCTCCTTCTTCCAATGAGACACTTTAGCTGCACAGCTCTCGCCCATATTTCTCTGGAATTCGACAATCATATCCAGAGACATGCATACACCCAATTTGTTTAACATTCATAGATCTTCATGCTTGATCCCGCTATGAAAGAAAACTGCAGAGATATGGTAAGGAGCAGCTGACATGGTGGGGTTTCTTGTTCTAGCAGCAATAGATGTCATCAAGGCCACCAAATTTGTTTTCTTGATATCCAGCTCTGATGATTTTTGCACATTGCATGGGCCTTTGACACAACTGGCTTCAACGGGATTCAAACCCGTGACCTCCGTGATACCGGTGCGATGCTCTACCAACTGAGCTATGAAGCCACACATTGGGAGTGAGGTCAATTAACTGAGTTCATATCTTCCCNNNCCCCCCCCCCCCAAATTTTTTTTCTTTTCATAAAATCTACTAGTTTCCCTGCATTTCTACAGGTGTTTGAACGTGTAATTTCTATGTTCACCACCACACAAAGTGGGATCTGGGTCGGGCGGACTAGTGACATCACTTCAGGAACCGGGCTGAAACACTCAAGAGACTTTTGGCTGAGCTTCGAGGGCTGTCAAAACATTTTTGGGTTATTTGTGATTTGCATTTTATCAAAACTGGACAAGAGTTTTAAGTGAAAGAACTGTATCAGTCTAGCTATGATTTGGACTGCTGTGATGTAGATATATTTTTTTTCCATTTCAAAGTGTGGGTTGCCAATGGAGACCACCGAGTTGTAATTTAGGCCAGGATCAGGATCAACAATTTGCCAGTCCATTGGGGTTATAAAGGTAAAAATAATGGCTGAAGAGTTAAGAAGGATGAAACACTGCTTAAAAAAAATGTTTGTAAGCTTTACAGGCCATTTTGACAAGCAAGTACTGGGAAATTTTGATTAGTTGCAGTTGCATTTAGCCATCTGTAACATGGAGGGTTGGGAAGAGAATAAGAGTAGGAGCCCACTTTGTCCTTCATACTCAACCCCATTCTCTTGGCCACTTATCTCAACTAACCAAATCAAAAATGGCTTCATATTGCAGCTTATCTTGTATGAATGGTACAACAGCACATTATTACAATGTGTCACTCATGTGAGGATTGGGGTGTACCGTAGTATTAACTTGCTTGTATATCCTCCAATAAGTTGACAACATGGAAGCATCAATAGAAAGGACATCACTGAGAAATATACATAATAGTTAATGTACCTGAAACAGGCATAGCACTTCAGCACATAGCTCCGTGCCTCCCTAATCAACATACCATCCACTGAAATCACATGGAACCCCATCTGGATCAACACATTCTAAAATAAAACAAATCATTTCCGACATTACTGTCAATAAAGGAAGTGAAGAATGATCATCGCAGTAAATTTTCCAATTTAAGCAATTGGAAAGAAGAAAACTGAAAAAAATCTGGGCTTCACCGGGATTCGAACCTGTGACCTTCGTGAATACCGGTGCGATGCTCTACCAACTGAGCTATGAAGCCACACATTGGGAGTGAGGTCAATTAACTGAGTTCATATCTTCCCGTGAGGAGTGAAACGATGTGAAGTATATATGAAATAATTCATATTTGAAGTGCGATTGTAGATGTGTTTTAATATTGCAGTCAAAATATGAATCAAGACAACCTTCTTATCTTTTGTTCTCTTTATGGGAGTACCTACATTTATGTAGTTTCCAAATCAGGAAACACTTTCACAAACTCGTTAATAATTCATCAAGTTTAAACAAAGTAAATCATGACCATCACAGTGTTTGGATATGTGATCTTAATTAGCATAGATTTTGATTTTACTTCTCCATCTTCTCCTTGTTTTTAGTTTCAATTGAGAAAATACATCAAATGCTCAAGACAGTGTTTCACCACATTACCAAACACCTTGAAGTTCGTCAAAAACATTCTGTATGCACCATATCTTCAACAGTTACTCTCTTCTAGGTGTTTGTTAATGTTGTCAAACATGGTCTTTTTTGTTTGATGCATTACCTCAAGTACATTGACAAGGATGCAAGGTAAGCCATTTAGGACACATGAATTTGATTCAAGCAAATGACATCGCAGCTAAACAGCTACTGATGTATTGACTTCTACTTCAAGTACATGCAAATAAAAGGTTAAAAGGCTCTTGAGGCACTTCATCAACTAAAACAAGATATAATAGTGTATGTGTAATCTGCAGCACACATAATTTGCGACTTTAATCTATTGACTATGCTTCTGCATTTTTTAAATTTTCTTGAGGGTTAGTACTCAAAATTACTTATTCATATCACCCTGAAATTGCATTACTACCTGCATTGCGAAGTCAGTTGTAAGACAACCCACAGTTACATTAGCCGGGACTGCATCAAGAGTTTCTTTCCCCATCTGACTCTTGATGTGCTTTATGTTATCAGGTGTAATCCAGCCATCATCATCATCATCATCACTGTTGCTGTCCAAATCATCATCATTATCAACATCCTCGTCATTTTCCTCAAATCCCTCATCATTGTCTCGTGAATCATTTAATGTAGTATTATTTGTAGTCAGTGTCTCCATTCCAGTTGTAATTTCCACAGCTGTTGATTCACTGTTCTCGTCATTTGTAGTGTTACTGCTTATTTCAGTTCTTGAGAGATCAATTATATTTTCCTGACTTGTGTTTGGTTCGTTGTTGTGTTGCTGATCTGTTACAATTTCTTTGTGGTCTGTTCTGTCACTCTCTACAATACTAATTTCCGCCTCTTCCTTGTTATGTTCACTTTGTCCACTTTCAACGTTTGATTTCTACATGGCCAAAAAAAGAAAAAGAATGTTATTTAGATTGCTAGATAAACAGCTAGATGACACCTATTAAGATAAGGTAAATATTGATATAGTACTGTTAAAAACGTGGTTTTGCTACCTCTTAGGGTGTTAAGCCTCAAAAGGTCCACAGTGGGAGCTTTTGCGGTACTTTTTAGGATATTGGGCTGAAAAAATATCACAGGAGATAATGTGTTATGAATTGGCACCCCTTAGGGGAGAAAAAAATTTAAGCCACGCTGACAAAAATAGATCTTGGTTCCTCTTAGGTGTTCTTTTCAAAATTTCCGACAAGCACCTCGTCTTTTTTATATAGGGGTCCCTCCCTCCCGGGGGTATATATCCTGGTTTTATAGCATAACACAGCATTCAACTCACTTTTTCTACAAAGAACCCAGGAACTAGCTTTCCTGTGAATCCCTGAGTGAACTCAACCTGCAGATAGACACATTCAAATACACATCAATGCTACTTAAAGATATTACGACTTCTGCTCTCCTGCTTATAGTAAGTTTCCTAGACAAGTTAGTATTCGGGCTTTAAAATAGATACATTGTATATCACCCTGTTGTGGCTATTTGTAGTTTAGATGATATACTATGCCTTTAGAATTTTTGCATTTCCTTGTATCCAAATTGGCATTTTTTTTTTTTTGCAGATTTCTATTTAGCTGATTTGAGGAGGTACCTAAATCACGTTCTGACCTGTTTGGTGGGTCTTGTCTTAATGTGGTCTATTCCACAATGTTCCTTTTCCAGCTGGTATGTGAGAGCCAGAACTCTCAAGTCAACAACTGAAAGACTTCTGAAATCTCCTGTCAGTTTGGCAAATTCTGACACTGTAAAATAACACACAGATTACCAAATAGTCAATTTAAGCAAGGTGAATCTAGAATAAATAACCATTTTACATTCACTTCTGTATACATAAATTATCACTAACATTCTATTCTTCCTTAGTATAAATCTACTAGTGCTCTATCATGAATGATAGTGAGTAACGTAGCACTGTGCGCTTGTTAACAAAATGATGGCCAATTCTTTGCATTTTTGAGGTATCTGTGAAGACGATTTAGATGAAGTTTTGAGTGACTAGTAGATTTATACTAAAACAATTAGATTATTCGTTATTGATTTCTATACCCGATCACGTGATAGGAATCTTGAGCTCATAATCCAATTGCTTATTATTGTTGAATTTGACAACAAATTTCATATTATGACTTAGAGGGCTGTCAACAGATTCAGTTCTTCCCTGCTTTATGTTAACTGGATCTTTGTGGTGGGTGGGGAGGGGGAGGGGGTGTGAGAGGGTAAGCCAAGTCAATTTCTGAACCTTAGTGCAGCACATTTTTTACCAAAAGCAAAATAATTCACTTTCATGTCAAGAACAGGACACAACAAAAACAGGAAGTTTTCACTTGCATCTGTGATTGGCACACAGTTGAAATAGACTTACAAGTATAGAAAAATTAAAGCATACATGTGGTAAGTAGATAGGAGGTGAAATGTTGTTGACCAGCAGATAAACGCATTGAAAACTTAAATACATGACAGCCCTCCAAGACCACATACTAATGATTATGGTTCTCTCTTCTGAATACCGTGGCCAGAAATTATAAACATATGTGACACCAAGAAGACACTGTCACAGTTCCAATAACCAGGCAAAAAAGAGTAAGTTTCATTCAATTTATAAAAGCTTTTTCATCATGTTACAGGCAATAGATTGTGCTGAAATCTTCATGTGTGCACCACAAAAGTAAACTGTAGTGACTGGAGTGCAGTCACTACACTGTAGTCACTACTTGCCTTGGGGAAGCAAGATTCAAAATGAATTTAATTTAAGAACAAATCGATGATCACTGTAAATTAGTTTTTATATAAATTCATTTAAATGTACTTAGTTTTTCTATTTAATTATTAAGTGTATTCGGAGATACTAGCACAACAGTGCTACTGTAAAAAATCCAAATAGAAATAAAGTTTATGAATGTGTATGTTACCATGTGTGTAATGTTATGGAGGGGACAGGGGAGGGGATATGACCTAGATGTCCATTATTGGACATTGAGCAGGGAACATGTGAACATGTCAGCAGGCCCTAAAATCAACAGGGAAAAGAAGAAAAAACGTTTTAATCTAAAACAGAAGAAGTTGAGACACTTTTAGAAACTGGCACTTTTGAATATTTAACCTCTTATTCTATTTTATTTGCATCTAGTGTTAATTCTCTCATGCTCCCACCCCCCAATTCAATGTTGTGTAGGTGCTGTAGTCTGTGCAGTCTAAGAAATAGAAAAATCAACATTGTTTGGGGGGGAAGGGGGGGAAGTGTTTCTAGATGCTCGGAAATCGAAAACTGCCAAGTGTCTTAACACTTTCATCGCACATTGTAGGTTAATTTTGAATACAAGTGACTTATAAACAGCTGGGATCTGGGTCTATAGTGCAGTTGTATAAAGGATAGATTACTTCATTCATTGGACAAATCACTATCCAAGGCCACTGGATAGCATGGTTTGGTTTTGTGTAAATGACTCAAGTCACTACATCTCCTTTATACTCTTCCTCCCCAGTCCTANCTTAAATACATGACAGCCCTCCAAGACCACATACTAATGATTATGGTTCTCTCTTCTGAATACCGTGGCCAGAAATTATAAACATATGTGACACCAAGAAGACACTGTCACAGTTCCAATTATAAGGCAAAAAAGAGTAAGTTTCATTCAATTTATAAAAGCTTTTTCGTCATGTTATAGGCAATAGATTGTGCTGAAATCTTCATGTGTGCCCCACAAAAGTAAACTGTAGTGACTGGAGTGCAGTCACTACATTGTAGTCACTACTTGCCTTGGGGAAGCAAGATTCAAAATGAATTTAATTTAACAACAAATGGACAATCACTGTAAATTAGTTTTTATATAAATTCATTTAAATGTACTTAGTTTTTCTATTTAATGATTAAGTGTATTCGGAGATACTAGCACAACAGTGCTACTTTAAAAAGTCCAAATAGAAATAAAGTTTATGTATGTGTATGTATGTATGTAATGTATGTAATGTTATGGAGGGGGCAGGGGAGGGGGTATGACCTAGATGTCCATTATTGGACATTGAGCAAGCAACATGTGAACATGTCAGCAGCCCCTAAAATCAACAGGGAAAGAAGTAAAAACATTTTAATCTAAAACAAAAGTAGTTGAGACACTTTTAGAAACTGGCGCTTTTTAATATTTAAGATTGCCTGCCTGTAAGAATCAGACAAATTCTTTATTTCGCGGCAAGGGTCGAAAATTCGATTTCGCTCATATTTGTATGGTAGATAGGCTAAGGCATGACAAAAACTACTGGATAGTTTTTTTGGCAAAATATCCTTTTATTTCAAAGAATTATGCAAATTACCAACTTCCGTT